GAAGGTGATCAGTAGCATACAATAAGAGTGAGGTCAGTAGGAAGGTGATCAGTAGCATACAATAAGAGTGAGGTCAGTATGAAGGTGATCAGTAGCATACAATAAGAGTGAGGTCAGTATGAAGGTGATCAGTAGCATACAATAAGAGTGAGGTCAGTATGAAGGTGATCAGTAGCATACAATAAGAGTGAGATCAGTAGTCTCATGGTGAAGGAAATAATCTTAGCTCTACCTTCACGGGGTCCTCAGGCACCCCAAGGCCGCCCAGGTAAACAGCCGCCAGCAGCAGGGATGCTTGTGAGTTTCCACAGCAGCTGGACACCTGCAGGAGCCGTACCGCAGAGGACACCGGGCCAGAACCGGGGCGGGCGCGGGCCAGCTTCCTCTTAGCGAGCTCATAGGACCACCTCCCAAGACGCTTAAACACGGTCCCGCTCTCGGAGCCTGTCCAAATTACACACACATCAATTAGGAACAGAAGGTCCAGCATTTAACAGGGTGTTTATCAGAGGACCGTGCCATGTGGAGGCAAATGAAAGTCTCCTATTCAGTTGGTGTGAAGCCATATAGATGGCAGGTTTTCTTGTTATAATTCTGTGAACAGATGCCATTCAATTACTGGAGTTTGTACCTATTAAGGGGCTGTATCTGCATGATATCGAGAAGATACCCATATGTGAAGGTTACCAGTATAACGTTTGGACATGGTCCCTATGTGTGAAGGGTCCCTACCTTATAAAGATACCTGGGGGTTAGGGCTGCTCTACCTGTACGAAGCGGGTACCTGAGATGTAGTTTCGCCCCAGAGCCTTGAGAAGCCGCAGGACAATGTGATGGCGGCGGTCTGCACTTCGAGGCGGAGCTCTACAGCTCAGATGCTCAAACCTCCGCTTGAGACCCACGTAGTATGACCTGCAGGAACCTGGTGGACAGACCAGTGACAGCTATTGCTTCTGTAATGATACAGCTTGGAATGCTAACTGGGACCACTTTGTTAAACAGCCAGCAGAATCATACTTATGTTTTGTAACAGACAGTGGACGGTAAAGTACATTTACAATGCAGAGTAGGCAGGATGACTCACGCTGGACATCCTCAGTGTCTCTCAGAGGCTGGGCAAACCCCAGGATGACTCCCATCACCTCCTCACACACCCGATGTGTTTGGTCTAGACCCAACGCAGTCAGCTCTGGAGACAGAGGGTTCCAAACCTAGAGGACATCCAATCTGATTACCTGGGAGATTCTAGAATTTAATTAAGGTGGGGGCATAAGAGGGCTCATAATTCATACAGATGGGCCAACCTTATCCACCACTGACTTACATTAGCCAATGATATGGTTTGAATCAGTGAGTGAAAGGGGAGGCACCCTCTGGGCCAATCAGCTTTTAGATGGGGCCAGTGACTCTGTGGCCCCGCCCCTGCATATTTGTCATGTACAGTACAGCCGGTAGTACCTGGATTAGAGCCATCATTATGTTCAGAGGGTTACTGAGTCGAGACCCTTTGGTCAGAAAATAGCTGAAAAATGTAAGGCATGATTCATGAGCCACTTGGGATACAATCCTATTTTAAGCTAATGAAATCTAAGTGCTGTGTTCGAAATGTGCTATACCCGCACTCTTCTCTCATGGAATCGAAACTAGTCATGCACACATGCTACCATAATATTTTGACCCGTGTTACGAAACAAACACTGCGCTGATCAAAGAGGTTTCGGATGCCACGCTTGGGAGTCACCTGACCCGGCTGTCTTTGGACTTCTGGAAGAAGCCCAGGGCAGCTGCCAGGCAACGTGCGTGAAGACGAGGGGAACCTGGCAAGTTCATGTGTGGGCCAGGACAGCCCTGCACGAGCGAGAGGCAGTATCACTCCCCACCAAACATCTGTTACGTAAGAGCAGGCATCTGCCAAACACAACACCCTTTCTCTGTCCTACAAAGACACGCTCCGTCTGTGTAATGAGGATTGTTCACATTCCATTCTCCCATAAACGGCTCGCTAATGCTATTCCATACAAACGCTGCCCATGGAGGGAGCAGCAGAAGCTTTTGATGAGGGGCGGCTCGCGTTCATCGGAGCTCATTTAGTCCCCAAAACTGCCAAATCTAGAAAAACACAGCAAAGGGCTGTAAAGTACTTCTAATGTAAAATCTGGCTATTAAAAATGCGCTATTGGCTACTAAATGGACTGACTGATTAAGGGCTATCAGAGGCAATCCTTTACATAAGGAAACTGCAGTAAAAGGAGGAATCGGGAAAAAACGTGTTTGAAAGCAGTGCAGACTTGTGTAAAATCAATTGCCTTCGTTTAACTTGTTCTCTTTATTGAGTGGGTGGTTAGAGCTGTAGCCTCATGCTGAGTTTCCTGTCTGTTTTTGTGTATTCCCCTGTATCTGTGCTGGTTTCCTTCAGGTACTCCAGACCTTTCCCACAGTCCCAAAACACACATTTAGGAGCTTCTAAACATGGGCTGCTCATTCCTGCTCCTGGAGATCCACCACTCTGCAGACCTTAGGCACAGCCCTGATACAGATAACCAGCCCTTCAGTAACATCTCAGTGTTAAAGCCAGCTTAGCTTCAACACAGCTGATTCTAATACTGAAATGCTGCTGAAGTGGTGATGGATGGATGGATGGATGGATAGGTTGCTTTTATTTAGTATGCAAGCCTGTTTGCCATTACCTCATGTCCACCCAGGCGGTGGTATGTGATTGGTCCAAAGTAGCCCTGGATGCCGGGCATAAACCTGCCACCGCCAATCATGAAGTAGCCAGCAGTGTCGTCGTAGTGGATATCAGCCTGGAAACTGGAATGCAAACGATGAGCCTCCCACTCACACCTCACAGGTCCATCGCAGGATGCAGACTGGGGGGACGTGAGGGGCTACCGCTGGATGACTGGTGTGTCAGTGAACACGAGGACTTCAGGAACTCCCTTTAGCAAATATGTGTTAAATGCACTAACAAAAAACAACAAAAAAACAGTTTTTAAGGATCTCTAATGAGTTGGGGCTAAGTTTGGTTGATATCTTGCGTCGCCATGGAAACTGATCACTGGTTGTACTCCAGCACAGTCCTTGACTAATGGAACCCAGCTGGTTCTGTTTGTCTTAATTGACTTTTTAGAGTTTTAAATTGGGTCTCCTGGGTGGAGATAGAAGAGGAGAGGGGAGTAAAATCATGGATGTTACCTGGACTATTAAACTTTTGTTTGAACTAATTCTTTTGACTGGTGCCACTGGGATAATCATGTGACAGATACCCACCCCACATTAGCCTAGTCTATCAGATCGTTCTCCTTTGCAAATGGCCACGCACCAATGCAAGCACAAGGAGCACCTTCTTAGATTGTGAGAGAGAGCACAGGAATATTCAAAATTCACCCCAGTAATCTGAGCTCAAGGCGACGTGAGACACAGACCCTCTAGATGCCAAACACTAGCTGCTACCCACAAGAATACAGCCAGGCGTCGCATAACGAAGTTTCAGTCAATAACAGACCACATATGCAACAGTGGTCCCATTAGATTATAACAGAGCTGAAAAATCCCTATTCCCTAGTGACGTTGTAGCCATTGTATTGTCGGAACACAATGTGTTACTTATGTGTTTGTGGTGATGCTGATGTAAACAAACCTACAAGTAAAGCACTCAGAACTATGTACAGTACATAATACTTAATATAAGAAACATCTATGTTACTGGTTTATCTGTTCACTATATTGTACTTTGTAATCATTACATAACCTAGGTGCATAGTAGGCTGTACCATCTATAGTTACATAATTACACTCTATAATGTTCGCACAGTGAGAAAACAGCCTAATGACGCATCTCTCTGAACACATCCGCATCTTTAAGCAAAGGATGACTGTAATATCTGAGACTGCCAGAGGCGCCACCAGACATTCTGGGCCCCATGAAAGCATATCAAAGTGGGCACCCAACCCAGATCAATCCAATTACGTTCCAAATTGGAATCATCCTAACTGCCACCCCCCCCCCCCCCCCCATGGCGCCCCTGGCAACCGCGTTCTTCATTCATGCGGTCGGCTCCAAATGTGGCCATATTGTTTGCGCAGGTGAGCGTTTTCACTTTTGCACGAATAGCCGCACATAGGTGTGAGGAATGCAGCCGCTTACGTGTAGGCGTACGGCTTTCCCGCGCTCGCCGGCGTCACGGCGTGGGACGTCACCTTCAGCATCGCCTGGGGAGCAGATGACCCGGAGTGAGAGGCCAGGCCGGTCCGAGCCGTGACGGCTGTGTGGGACCGGCCACGGCGGGGACGCCGAATCCTGAATGCCCATTGCCCGGGAGGGCATGTTAATAAGGAAAAATAAGATTCAGGACTTTGGCTGCCCGCCATTATAGAACTCCCATTTTCCCTGGAGGAAGAGTTCTGCGAGAGAAATTACCCCTGTGCCCTTGAGCCGGGTGCTTAACCAAACTGATTCAGTAAACACCCAGCTATATTAATGGCCAGTGGCGGAAAACTGTAAGCTATAAAACACAGCCAGGGTTAGATCGTCGGCTAAATAAATAACCCATAAATAAGCAGGAGGGAGGGGGAAAGAAAACAATAGCGACTGGCGGTGGAATAGCTTTAGGACCCAGGGCAGTAAATCCTAGGAATTAAGTTCATTAATTATAATTCAGGATGCAATAAGGATCTTCTCACTCTGCACTCACAGAAGAAAAAAAAAAAACAGTCGTTTATTTCAGTTTCTCTCACTGTTAAAGATACCGCCGGATGTGTGTCTGTCCGTGTCCTGATTAGCGGAAGGCGGATTATTTTTTGTTGTGGCGCTTTTTACGGAATTGCGACACGGCGCGGCGTTTGGTGATGTCAGGGATGCAGGCAGTGTGCCTTCGCCGAGAGAGAGAGCAGCTAATGTGTGAAGCCCATTGGAAAACTGCTGGCTGTTTTTGGTGCAGGGCTGGGGGCTGTTTCTATAGCTGGGGTCATTTGCTAAGAGGAAATGCAATGATGAACTGTTTAGTCTGTAGCATGTATGTGTCATACCTGGATGCACAGTCAGTGAATGGATGGATGGATGGATGATTACCTTGGATCCATCCATGAAGACGTCCAGGCGGTGCCAGACTCTGAGAGGGAGGGCTGTGTACGACCGGAAGCTGCGAGCTTCTCCGGATACCAGTCTCACCTGCAAAATGACGTCCCCTTCACAAGGAGGGTACAGTCAGAGGACCTGTTTAGCAGGCAGTCGGCATGCGAGACACTTCCACTGCTAATCAGTTTGACAACTCGAATAGCGGATAATAATCATCTGTTAATGACATGAACATTGAGTGTGGTTCCTCTGCTTTGTATGAATTGGATGGATAGATGGATGGATGACACCAATAGCATAACAACATTCTATGCACTATGGGATCTTCTGTACGTCACGGCTTTAAATCATTCTAACCTAATAACCCAAAACACAAAAATTCTCAAGTTCATGTTTTCTCTAAAGGCTCATGTGTGCAGAAGAGGAATGTGGAGGTTAACAGGGGGCAGCATTCTCCATGTATGGTCAAACCTGAAGGACGCACAGATCCACGGTGCCGCTGGAAGGACCCGTGACTATTTACCGCCGCTGTCCGCTCAGATAACGAGGAGCTGAAATCAGGTGTGAAGATGTATCCTAGGCGAGGTTGACCCTTGCCCTCGTTTTATCGAATTGGCAATTGCTCTCATCATTTATTGCATTATTCGCTGGGCGGTGATTTTATTCCGGGTGATTTACACAGCGCCAATTCAGCCAGAGGGGCGCAAACAGCCGTGGGCGAGCGACCGCGACCGGCGCCTCCGCACGCGAAGGTCACGGCAGACAGTTCGGCCCACTCACCCCTGCCATCGAGCATAAGCATGGGCGTGTCGAAGGTGTCGTGCCGGTCCATGTGCTGCAGGATGCCACAGAAGTCACGGTCGCACCAGCTTAACAGGTAAATCCACAGAGAGAGGGTGAGCCTGCAGGAGCGGAGACACAATGGGCTTGTGACATCACAAAGGCACGACTCGTCCAGGCCTGCGCCCTACGTTCCATAGGTTCACAAAGATCACCTGCTATATTTTCCACGCAGATCTAGCTCCTGTGTGGCTCAGTGGGTTAGAACAGGGTGCTTATCACATATGGTTGCTGGTTCAAATCCCCAAGTTGGCAGAGTGACGTAAAATACAAAGTCCACGTCAGTCTATTGCTGGATTTATCCATCTTGGTTATTTTAAGCAGTCATATTAAACAGGCGTAAAACCCACACCTCACCTTTCAAAATCATCTGCATGCAATACCCCTGTGTCTCGCATGCTGGCCCGCTGCCTATATTTACCAATTTACTTGTTTATTTCAAGTGGCTGTCTACAATAAAAGCTGGTTTGACACACATCCGAGCTGGGCCTTCAGAAAAGCTACTTTCACGAAGACAGGCCAGAAATAGGCATTTTTTTTTTAAAGTCTGCTTAAAAGCAAAATACCGACACAAACATGATTTATTCATAGACGCAGAGTTAACGAGGATAACCGTCTGTCGGCCGATGTATGCTTCGTAAAAATGTATATATTTTTTGATAATGATATGCCATTTATACAAGCACAAGTACAGGCACACGGTATTCTCTGGTTTCCATGTATCCTGCCCGTATCCTGTGAGATGCACACATGCGTACAGATGACAGCACACATGCGGGTCAGAGCACGGGCCCCAGCCTGTTTTCCGGCACCCCTGGGGCGCCTGTTTGGAGCGAAGGGCCTCGCTGAAGAGCCTGCCGGTGACATGCTTCCTTGAGGACACAGGTTTACACTCCTCTCCCACAGAGAGAGCATTTTATAACCACAACTGAACAAAAAAAAACCTGACGTTAAGGTATTCAGTGCAACGTTTAGATTCTGTCAGAATGCAGTAAGCCCTTGGGGTATCAAACCATAGCAACGAGATGATAGGGAAGATATTCTGGATTCCGGTCTATAAGAAGTGACCCAGGGACAGAGGACTCCATGGAAGAGCAAGAGGGGCAGAGACCTGGGTTCCTCTGTGGTGCCATTACGAAGGTCCTCCAGCTCTTTGTTGACGAAGGGCTGGAAATGACGGATAACCCCGAATCGCTCGCCGGTGCTTGCCAGAGGGAAGGTCAGCAGGGGCACGATGCCTGTAAAATACAGGCATCACAATGAGTGGCTGCTATTTACCACAACTCATACCAAACGCCCCCTGTTGGCTATAGACAGTCACTACGCTAAACACTGAATGAATGTGTTCCTTATCCAGGAGATAATGAAGTAGCACGTTCTGCTAACCAGCTAGCTGGCTACGATCTTCTGACTCTACTTGCTAGTCATTTATTTAGTTTTTGAAATATCTTAAAAACATGGTTGAGATCCAAGCCCTGGCACACTAAGGAGAAACAAAAGAACTTCCAATAATCAGGTCCAGCATCCAACAGGGCTCACCCACCAAGGGTTCATCAGCCAAAGTCTTGGAGGATTTCAGGCTTTAGAGACTGAGTAGTCCGATTAGCAATTCCCGGTGTTTGGCTTTGCCAGATTTATGTCGTCACATACAAACCCCACCAGTCAGAGCGATAGTGCAAATCCTGACCTGATTCATGAGGACACCAGTTGAGTCTGTTTTGGTTCAGCTTCCATAATAATTCTGGCCCCCAGGAAAGGCAGGTTCTGTGCTGCTTAACCGGGCGCTTGGATGCAGGCAAGGTCCTCAGGATCCTGAAAACGTGGGCGAGAGATGTGTGGTACGCATTAAGACCACCTATGCTCCCATTGGTCCTCCCGAGGTGGTCTAACCAGGCCCTCAGCATGACATCTCGGGCGTCTATAGAGTGCCTGACATAGAAGTCTGTCTGGTATGCCATGGCAGCAGGGAAACGCAGGGGTAGCGAGCATCTCCGAACTGAGCCGAGATGGTGCTGGTTCGTCCATGTCTTCTGGAAGACCAATGGCCCAGTCCTCCACTCAGTGGGGGCTACCACATCCACCCCCACCACACAGGGTCGTGAGCACAGGTAACGAACTGACAGGCTGTAACCATCAATCACCACGCTGGGCTCTTTTTCAAACTTCACAAAGTCGTCCCCTTGCCAAATTCGGCTTCCGGCTGGCAGAGATGGTGTTGTGCACGACGTGTTCTTGCTTTGAACCTTGAGGAAAGCACACAGTGTTTCAGAAATAAAAAAATTAAAAATTAAAAGATCATGCGTCTCACTGAAGCCTATATTTAAATTTCACAGACGCGACATCTGTGGGCTAAAATTGAAAACACGACTATAAACAGAAACAATAGTGCAGCCGTCTGGATTTAAACCAAGAACACTTCGGTTACAAGCTTGAGGTCATTTTTATTCCAATAATACAAGCACTAATTATCGATTCGACATAATAGTTTATGTCACGGAAATATTCACACGTTTATCCAGGAAGGAATAGCTATATAAGGCTTCCACGGCTGCTCACTGTGGTTTTGTCTTTATATACTATGATTGCTATACTATTATTGTCAAAGAAAAAAGAAACGCGGCGGTATTTGTACTGTGGTATCCTAATTAATTTAATAGTAGTCAACCGTGAATTACTATTAATAGATCTACTGATGACAAAAGTGGACCTATCACATTAAGTTTAATACTCCAACAGTAATGATGCAATTTTATTCGTCTCGAAAAACCACTGTGAGCTGATTATACTTAGTTAAACAGCGCGATTCAGAGGCAGTAAATTGTCCTTCGTTCATACGTACAGTAGGCCCCTATATTACACTTTTGAGCTGCGGTTTAATATATATGATCATGAATGTGCACAAATTTACAAATGTCCCGGAAGTATTTGGAAAAACACGGTGGCTACGACAGATCGGATGGAAAAGGCACATTTAGACTTTTTTTTTTACTTTTTGGCGTTGATTTAATTACCAGATCGCTGCGGAAATAACTCACCGAGCCTAAAAGCAGAAGAGAAAGCGCCGCGTATCTAACGAAGCGAAAACCCGCATCGGGTTTCGAGCGCAGGCAGCCCATGGCAGCTCAGCATGTCAGATCCCTCACTTGCATTTTAGTTCGCTTGACGGTACTGAATAACAGCAAAGGCAAAGAAATGGGCTGCCACCCAGGCTTCGGCCAGCTTTCACATTCGGGTACGACATACGGAAATTTCTTCCTGAGCCGCACAGATAATCCGGGACAGGTGCGTCACCTGGTCAGGTATTCAGCGCAGGCATGCATATACGCCTATTTACTGCACCAGTATCTACACCATTTACAAAAAGCAGTCACTGTACATAAACAGAGATTAATAAATTAATCCTAAAAAATAAAATGCATGCGTATGATTATTGTTGGCATTGCCATATGGGTATTAGCTTACATGTAGACTGTAATTCATTCGCTTACACATTTATACACACAGCAGTAAACTCATCATTAAGGCAAGTTTTGAAGAGCAGTTTCATCGATTGGCTTCAGTGAAATCACTAACTCGACGCTTTCAAGCGTCTGTAAAAGCGCTATCAAGTTGCGTTGGTAGTTACAGACGGCAGACATGAAGGGTATATAAGATCTGGCTTCCATCACTCTCGATTTATTTAGGACCTCGAGCAAAGACTAGTGGAGTTACAGTACTTCGTCTTTCGATATAACTAGGCAAATGCAATAATGTTGTTTTATTGGATTGACTTGTTCTTGATAGGGAAACTTTGCAGCAGTTTTATTTAAGGGAGTTCGGGAAGGTCATATCGTATCATCTTCAGTTCTCTCAGCAGTCAGCCGTCTACTCCTCTTGAATAGGCATTTACCATTGTGCGGACAGCAGTGTTGGGATGGCTTTACAAGACGTGTGCGGTTTCCATGACACCCCTGCATACCCCAGATGGAACTCTCCAGCGTTGCTGTCCTTGCCAGTGGGAGATACCATTTTGCACTTTCAGAGGGGATTCGGAAGCAGCATGTATGATTTCGGAGATGCGCGCTCTGCTGGAAAAACCAGTGGGAATGCGCTGGAGCTCTATGTACCGGTATTGGACTACCTCAGCCAAAGCCCTATTAATTTTGGCCAGATTGCCTCCAACACACTACCAAGCCACCCTCCGCTTTTCCAGTCTCCTACTCCATTGTCACCCTCCTGTCTTCCTGTGTCCATTCCTCTGCTGTCCTCATCTATCCCTCCCAGTCCTTCTGTCCCCTTACCCTTCCCGCTGTCCCATGGTACCACCACGCTGGCCTTTGCCTTCCAGGGCGGGGCCATCGCCGCGGCCGACACCCGGTCCAGCTGTGGTGGTCTCGTTGCCTGCCCTGCCTCCCATAAGGTCCTGCCCGTGCACTCGCACATGGTGGGCACCACGTCCGGCACGTCTGCCGACTGCGCACTCTGGAAGCGCATCCTGGCCCGGGAGTGCCGCCTCTACCAGCTGCGCCACCGCCGGCGTCTGACAGTAGGGGGCAGCGCTAAGCTGCTCTCGCACATGCTGCATCCCTTCAAGGGCACCGAGCTTTGTGTGGCAGCCACCTTGTGCGGCTGGGATGGCGAAGTTGAAGGGGGTACAGAGGACAAGTCGGGTGGCAGGGATTCTTCCCTGGAGCAAACCGGCCTGAGAAAAGGTGGGTGGACCCAAAATATGGACAATCCTGAGCAGACACTGGTCCTTCCTACAGATTCGGGAGCAGGAGAGGTGAGCAGGGCATCCCGTGAAATAGATCGGAAGTCAGTGGGCGGAAATGTGGATAGGGCACCAGGTGGCCCACCAGCCACGGCAGCGGAGGGAACCCAGGATGGAGGATCTGGATATGAGAGTGGCACCTCACCAGCTGCTGCAACCAGAGCCCCAGCTTTGGCTCCGGGCCCCCGGCTCTGCTACGTGTGCAGCGACGGCACTCTGCTGAAGGGTGGGCTCTTCTCCGTGGGCTCCGGCTCCCCCTACGCTTACTCCGTGCTGGATGCGGGGCTTCGCTGGGAGCTGAGCGTACCAGAGGCGTGCTCCCTGGCCCGGGAGGCCGTGTTCAGGGCCACGCACCGGGATGCATACTCCGGGAACTGCGTGGACCTCTTCCACATCACCGCACGAGGCTGGAGACGGCGGGCGAGGGAGGACCTGAAGGAGGAGTACTATAGGGAGAAGGAGAGGGAGAGGGAGAGGGTGGAGGAGAGAAGGAGGGAGAGGGAGAGGGTGGAGGAGAGAAAATAGGTACAAGAGGGAGAGAGGGACAGGAGGAGGGGAGGAAAGGAAGTCACTAGAAAGATGAGGGATGTTAAAAATGTACAGACTGGAGAAAAAAAATACCAAGATTTAGTGGGCAATGGTAGAAGAAATGCAGAAGACACTTAACTAAATATATAATTTGAATGGGTTATAATTCAGTGTTATAGCTGTATGTAAATGTGAGTTCCGCTACCGCTGTATTTGCGTGTTTTTAATAATTTCTCTAAATGCTCGGCTCCGGTATAACTTTATTCACATTGAAGTTGCGGAACAATCTAACTCTGTACCGAATTTAATCTCATTTCCATGCTCAGAAGCCCCCATTATCATAATGAATCCGCGTTTTATCACATTTGCCTCACCTTATTCTGCAACTGCTCAGTTATTATTCATGTAAAACCGCCCCGTTAATCGCAGCTGCAGGGGCGACGTGCGTGTGCGCCAGGGTCCTCCACTAGGGGGAGCTCTCGGAAAAGCGTCCGCTCCGCTTCCAGCGGGCTGCCCTCTTAGTTCCTGTTTGAAAAAGGCCGCTCGAGCTCGCTTCTGCAGATATGGCTCTCAGTAGCATCCTGAGCAGAGAGCCTCTGGGGCTTTTCGGTTCTGATGCCGGGTCTGTCGGGGCTGGTTTCAGCGATGGTCGGACCGGGCTGGGCTTCAGCTCGGTTTCGGGCGACGGGCTGAGCTTCGACATAAGAGCGCCGCCTAACACCGATGACGAAGCGGCCCCGGAGTCCAAGATCGAGTTCCTCCATGGGACCACGACTCTGGCCTTTAAAGTGAGTAGCATCATCCACCCACAGCCCTCGGGACCCCGCACCTCCACCTGACCCCACGTGCGGCGTGCTTAACTTGGTTAGTTTTGCTCGATAACCAGCTTGACAAGTATTTTTGCTTGGTCTGGTTCTTGCAGCGTCACGGTGCCTTTGTTCTGAATGGAGGTACCGCCCCACTATCCCCCAAGCGCTGCTCCATTTAATTATTCCCATTAATTTTTTAATGATTTTTTAAATGAACGCTTAGTTGCCTTATAGTTGACTTGCTGTCAGTTTCTGGTTACAGAGAAACGCAGAAACAATCGCCACGTAAATTAATGCAGTCTTCCCCTTATTCTTATTTTTACCGGTTTTTGTTTCCCTTCGATGTGATTTATTTGGGCTTCTTGATCAGTGTAATTCAGATTTATACCCAGCGCTTCACTGACAATGATATATTCTTTTAACAAGTGTCCCAGTGAGTCAATGACTGTGTGTTTTTTTTTTTTTATGGGCTTGGCATGGTAGATGGTGTGTGTGTGTGTGATTAAGGACATGTACAGATAACCAGAAGGCTGACCTTTTTAAGGCCGAGCCCTTTGGGATAACGTGTCGGGGCAACGTTTATTGGCCAGTAATTGGCAAGGGGAGGGCTCCAGGATTCTTAATACATGTGAAACGATAAACATAGCAGGGAATAGCCAGCGATTCTTCAGGCTTCTCTCATCATCCATCGGATCTGATGTTAGATGCCAGTGTTGACGAAGCACAACTCATTAACTCCCCGAATAAACAAAACCAATGTGATTGCTTCATAAATCCAGCTGTGAGCTAAATTAATGGATATTGAGCACTGAGTTCATGCAGTCTTTCGTGTATTTAGTGATTCTTTCATCTGTAAAAAAAAAAAAAAAAAAATCCCATAATGAAATGGAATCGGTGCACACCCCCGGGTCAGTATAAATGTGCCGGCTCTTTCTTCAGTTTCCTCACAAAATAGGCTTGGAAAGTGATCAGGTGGTTATGGGATCCAATTACACAGAACACACGTTGCCATGGAGAATGTCGCCTCCCCACAGACATTATATCGAGCTGGGTTGTCTGTTTAACGTAATGTAGTTCTCCTGCAGATGGATCAGTGTGAGTTTTGACCTATGAATGTGTAGCTGGGGGAGGATTGTTTACAAGCATGCAGTGAGAAATGATCTGGAAATAATGGTGTCGAAATTGCGATCAGTCACCCCCACCCTCACTCTGCGCGGTGCTCCTGCTCTCCACGCTTTAAAGCCAGCGTTATGGGAGTTCGGCGTTTTCCCAGGATGGAGCAGCAAGCAGGAGAATGTCTCCAGATTGTCTGTTAATTAGTGGCGGTTAATTCCCACAGGACCCTGTGGTTCTGCTCACCTTTTCAGGTGAACATGGCTGTCTTGTCCACTGCAGGGTGCGGAACGTGTACGAGTGTCTGATTAATGCCCCCTGGGTGGCACTGTCACGGCACGATTAGTCTGCGCAGCAGATCCGTGTGCGTGGGACGGCGGCATGCTCTCTCTCCTTTGGTCGTGTCTCAGGTTTAAGTAAGATTGGCTGACTGTGTCCACTCACTGGCATGTTTTCTGCTGTATGGTATCAGAGATAAACCACCCACCCCCCATCAGATATTACTCCTCTTTTTTTTGCTTCCCTCCCCCACTACCACCGATGAATGTGTAACTCAGTGAGTTAGGCCTCTGTTCCCCTGATCAGAAGGTCGCTGGTTTGATTCCCACCCTTGACAGAGTAGTCCTGTCTGTTGGGCCCTCGAGCAATGCCCTCAATCCCCCAAAATGCTGTAGGGGTGCTGGATAAATGGTATGACCCTGTGCTCAGACGCCAAGCCTCATTCTCAGCTGTGTGTATATAAAGTCTCTCTCAAGGCAATCAAGGTGGGATATGCAGAAACTCTAATGTACCTGTACTTACGCAAATGGGAAATAACTCCCCCCCCCCCCCCCCTCCAGTTCCAGCACGGCGTGATCGTGGCAGTGGACTCGCGGGCCACGGCCGGCTCCTACATTGCCTCCCAGACGGTGAAGAAGGTGATCGAGATCAACCCGTACCTGCTGGGCACCATGGCGGGCGGCGCGGCCGACTGCAGCTTCTGGGAGCGGCTGCTGGCGCGGCAGTGCCGCGTGTATGAGCTGCGCAACAAGGAGCGCATCTCAGTGGCGGCTGCGTCCAAGCTGCTGGCCAACATGGTGTACCAGTACAAGGGCATGGGGCTCAGCATGGGCACCATGGTGTGCGGCTGGGACAAACGGGGCCCGGGTGAGTGGACGCCCCCCCACACACCCGTTCGCATCTTTTTAATCATTTCCCTGCTTTTGGCCGTCGGACTATGGTTTTGGATCAGTAATTACGCGTGTGATCAAAGGGATGTCCTGAGAAACAAGGGAAAGGTGTGTGTGCTCTTTTGCGCCCTCTACTGTGTAAGTTCAGTATTGCAGTATAGTGACCCTCAAAAATGGACTTGTACAATCTTTTCTCACTTTTGTTGGCGTGTGCTTAGGAATTACTAATTACTTGGGTTGAGGCCAACGGGATGCTCCCAGAATGAAGGGAAACTTGTGTGCTCCCCCTGCCTGGCGTGCCTGGTACTGCAGCTTCTGAAACACAGTGTCGATTCCACCGCTGTAAGACCTGTCTAGGGCTCACAGAAGCTGACAGTGTGGCCATCTTCAGCCCGGCCTGTCAGCCCACGGCTTTTGTGGCAGAGCAGCATGGTGGCATCGCTGGGGCGCCATAGAGATGGCTCGCGACGGTTATATTTGTGTCCCTGCTTGCCGCTGCTGTAGTTTGACATGACGGGGTGGGAGACGAGTCCTGGCGCCTGCTGAGATTTACCGCGTTTGCCATTTCTGTGGTGAGGATCTTCGTAGAGGGACCTCTGCAAGAATTGTGGCTATGCGTGCACTGGCCGCTCCCACCACCAGGGGGAGCCTCAAGCGTGTCATCTGTCACGGGCGGAATGCGGTGGTGCCGTAATGGGGAATTCATTCCTCTGAAACAGGCCAGTTTGCCTGGGGTCAGAGATGAATGAGTGGTGGGGATAGATGAGGCGTGTGCATGTTGCGATGGAGCCAATCACAACGTACATTGGAGTGGGGGCGGGTCTCACCCAGGCTAGCTAATAAATTAGTTAATTGATGCCTCTTAATGAGTCAGAACAGGCTTCTGGAATGTAGAATTATCTGACTGTCTTGGTCATGTTGGCGGCAGTTTGAATGGGGGACGGGGGTTTTTTATGATGGCACGGGTCAGATGGATGGCGGTCATAAAGTGGGTCGTTATTGTGACTGTGGCCGGCCGTAGCAGGGGGAGCCGGGACTGTGAGACCACGGGCCGAATTGGAATCAATGGCTCGAGATTAACGGCAAACAACCGGGGTGACGGGCGATATAGCGCCGTGTTCTGGAAGGGAGGCATGGAAATCGTCTGAGCGGCGGTAACTGTCACGATTTGGGGGGGGGGGGGAGCGGAGATGAGCGATCTTTGAGTATAAGGGGGGCGAGCGAGTGAGCGAGGTGTCTGCCGGGGCTTTCTGCCACGTCTGCACCTTTCTGCAGTCCTGCTGACGGCCCGGCGTGACATTTCGGGTGAACAAGATGTCCCACTTCCCGTCCGCGGGGGCGATTCGAACCCGAGGTCCTCCGGGGCGGGGCCATGGGCTCCGGAGGTGCTGTACATGAGCAGATTAGTGGCAGCGTAGCACAGCTCTAAAGCCTAGCTGACGGCTTGCTGCTGACGGGGAGGGGGACAGCACTAGTCTGTGCTTAAATCTAGGATGGATGGAGGCTTCTGGAACTGGGATGGAAGCATCCCCCCCCCCCCCCCCACACCCACAAACACCCCCAAAAACAAACACACACACACACACACACACACACACTGGATGAGGGTTTGTTATTTCTGTTACCTTGTGGCCTTAGGGGGTCATTGTGTTTTAGATTTCATCGGTTATTGAGTGGCCTCCCTGTAAATTACAGATTATGTCACTACACCTTCAGACATCCCATGTAATACAGACCGAGGGGTCCTATTAAGTAAATTAAGTGTAGTTATTTAGTAAATTAATTGAAGACTGTAGATTGTTCTGTAATTGCTTGGGGGTTCCACAATGAATTATGGGATTTGGAGTCCTTTGGTCTAATGGCCCCACCCTCTTTTCCCACAGGTTTGTACTACGTGGATTCGGAA